CGGTAAAAGGTAAACGTAACTACGTTCTTACGTAGTAGTAGTACGTAACGTAAACGTACACGTACGTAACGAACGACGAAACCAAAACTAATAGTATACTCCCTCTCTCTCTCTCTCTCTCTCTCTCTCTCTCTCTCTCGCTCTTTCTCTCTTCATTTTCATTCAGAGATTGCTTGAAAGAAGCAAGTATTGATCAGGTTTCGTCCCCTCAAAGTTCAGATCTCCAAGGGAAATTCAGCAGAGGATCCTCACCGTTGAAATCAAGATTGGGCGGTTCCTTTGGCTTCTGGCATCATTTAAGTCTCGACCAAAAGTGATTTCGCCAAAGTATCGCTGATTAGAAAAAAGTTACTGGATTTCCCCATCTTTCAGCGTCGTCAAGCTCTCCTTTAAAGGTAAACAACGAACTGAGAACTCTCATTTTTTTTTTTTGGTTTTCTTCCTTACTTTCACTTTACTATTGCACCATTTTTTCTCCCTGTTCCTTTAAATTTCCGGCCATTTTTAACCTCTCAAGATCTTGAATTCCAGGCCTTATCATTTGTCTTCATTTTCCTTTAATTTTTCTGTAATACGTTCAACTCCTACCCTCCTTGTATTTCATTGTTTTTCTCTTCCTTTTTCCTTTTATTTCTTCGGCCACCGTTAACACCAAATACGTTCAACTCTTGCTGGTCTCATATTTTATAGTCTCTGTTATTTTTGCCTTTGATTTTCGCTATTTTTAAACTTAAGGCTTTGAACTCCTGGCCTGATTTTTATATCTTATCATTCTTCTCTGCCATTCTCTTAAAATTTTCTTCCATTTTTAACTGCAAAGACTTTAAACTCCTGGCCCTCGTTATCACAATCGTCATTTTCTCTTCATTTTCCTTTTATTCATTTGGCCATTTTTAATCTCAATGGCCGTACAATCCTTGCCTTACATGTAATACTTGGTCATTTTCTCTTCATTCCCATTTAATTTTTCAGCCATTAATCTTGCATACTTGCTACTACAGATCAATCAGGAAACATGTATGGAGCTGCTCAGACCTCACCTATAGGCTTGAAGCTGAACCTGTGCAACAACACCAAAGGCTCAAGCTTATCACAGATCAAGGAAGACGATCGAAACAGAGGACCACTAATGGATTTTGGGGCAGGCACCAATCCCTTGCAAAACACCGCATCCAGTCTTATGCGCTATAAGTCAGCACCTGGTTCACTATTTGCTAGCCTGGTTCAAGACTGTGACGATGATTTCTTGCCTCGATCTTCAAGCCCCGAGTCAGAGAATGTACTTGCAAGGCTTCTCTCTTGTGATTCTTCTTGTCTCACGTCTGAGTCGAGAGATTTACAGTCTCATGCTTCTCCTGATGTTCTTGAAATGGAAACAAAACCAGTTTGTAACAGTGGGCAAAGGCTGCATGGAGATCGATTCGTAGCTGAAAATGAACCAGAGGTGGCTCAACAGAGGAGTGGGGGTTTTGGGGCTTCACCGCATATGGTTTATCAGCATCAAAACCCTAATGGTTCACTTTTAAGACAAAGTAGCTCGCCTGCTGGTTTTCTATCTCATTTGACAGGTGAAAATGGTGAGTGGCTCTCATTGATATCCCTTTTACTTGTTACTTTTCCCAACTTTTCTTATTGTTTCTCTTTCTTTAATATTTGAAATATTTCTGGGGCCTCAACAAAGATTCCAAATTTTGTGGAGAAAGGTAAAAAAGAGAAAAAGATAAAGAAAAGAGAAAGGAATAAAATCTGGGAATTTCATGTATGCAATTACATCATGTGGAATCTGGTGCAATATCTGATGTATGACTGGGGCATCCTTTCCTGGATGATATTGGGTTCTTTTTCTCTCTTATTTAGTACCTAGATTCCTGAGTGCAACTTTTTACTGAATTTATTTCAATTACCAATTTCCTGATTCTTATATCCTGTTTTCCTAAATCTCATCGAGAAGATTGGCACCTATCTCCAGTCGCATTTTGATTTCTAAATCCATGATTCTTTCTTTTCTTTCTGATACCAAGGCTATTCGACGTTGAGAACCATGGGCAACAACTTTAGGCCTGGAAATTGCTCTAATGGATTGAAGGGCCATATGAGCTTCTCAAGACAACAGGGAAATCATGCAGGGATGTTACCTCAGATCTCTGAGATAGTTTCAGAAACTGTTGGACCAAGTAGCTCAGATGAAGGAAGTTTGGGAAATGGAAGTCAGGGCCAATGTTATATACCAGGTTTCCCTGTTGGTTCTTGGGATGATTCTACTCTTGTTGCTGAGAGCTTATCTGGGTTTGAAACTGCTGCTGACTTTTCTGCAGTGAGGAAACGAATTCGAGATTTGAACGGGAAGTCAACATCAGAATCTCAGGTCTTTTGCAAACCTCTCACTAGTTTCTTTTGTCCCCCTCTCTCTCTAGCACGTAGAAATTTCTAGATGAAAGAGTTAACCAAATGCTCTGTTTTAATCTGTGGCGTAATGTAACCACTACTCAGTAAAGTTCTTACCTGGAATTTACTGGTATTATAATTGGATCCTTGTTTTAAATTTATTGGTTGCTTTAAAGAGCTTAATGCAATGGAGCAGCTACATGGTTGTTAGAACTTTTGACTACGGTCGAACTTTTCAGGCTTCAGTGAGCTCATAGCAAGCATCTGGTATGGGTTATGGATTGCATTTGAAACTTTAGATGAAATTCAGTTGCTGTAGAAGAATCTTTGAAAGTTTTAACAAAAGAAAAGTGATGTTTGAAAGAGAAGGAATTTGAAACCTTTGTGAAATCTTGTTGAGCTATGGCAATAACACCAATGAAGTTGCTTCCGAGCTCCCACAGATTTTTTATTCTGCCCCTCCTGAATGAATCTATGAGCAGCCAATGCTTTGCTTTTGTTATTCCAAAAATCATATTTTTCTTTTGGAAGGAAGACACCACTTGCTGCTTGCTAGCAATCAAAAGCATTACAAAAATCATAGCAATTCATTTAGTATTAATCTTTGATCAGTTTAGTCTATTTTATTAATATATCAATCATTTCTTGTTTCAACTTTTGTATTTTCGGTCAGAATGGAGAGGGAGGAACTCATAGGCCAGGTTTGATGCACCACTTCAGCTTGCCCAAGACTTCGACTGAGATGGCAGCCATGGAAAAGCTTCTGCAACTTCAAGACTCTGTTCCTTGTAAGGTTCGAGCAAAACGTGGTTGTGCCACTCACCCAAGGAGCATTGCAGAAAGGGTATGCATTGTTTAATGTATGATTTATTTGTTTCCATTTTATAACAAATTCTTCTAATATTTGTATTAGACAGAGGAAATGTAGCGTCTGTCACTTTCATGCTATCATCAGAGCTTAAATTGAAAGTTCAGTCTGAGTTTGATTGGAATTGCACAAATTCAGGCTCATTAAGTTACAATCATTTTTTTTGCCTTGCTTTTATCTTTTATATTCAAATGATTTACTGGGAATTCAGCTCAGTATTTGAGCAAGAATTAACAAGAATTTGACGAGCAACTGGGTGGAGTTTCCTTTCAAATGTGGGAGAAATGACCAAAAATCTGGATCATTTTGACCCAATGAATTTCGGCAGGACTTGAATTTAAAGGTGAAATTAAAGATCTATAAAGCCCAAAGTTTCAGTAAGTATTTTTGTTGCAGGTGAGGAGAACCAAGATCAGCGAAAGGATGAGGAGATTACAAGAGCTAGTACCCAACATGGACAAGGTAACCAAATCTTTAACCATCTAATCATCCATGCTTGACGTTGAGGGCCCAGATAGGTGTTGGAAGGATGGCTGAGATTTTCTGGGTGCACTTCCTTTGAAATTATAATTTAATCCCAATTCGCCTTTGTGTATAATCTTTTTTATGCTTGTGGATGCAGCAAACGAACACTGCAGACATGTTGGATTTGGCAGTGGAGTATATAAAAGACCTCCAAAAGCAAGTCCAGGTCTCTCTCTCCCCCCCCCTACCCCCGTGTGTCTGTGCGCGCATGTACATGTATTTGTGTTGTTAGTTAGATCGTAAGAACTGGGACCAGATCCGACAAGTCTGGGGTCGGACCCCAACCATGTCGGATCTAAGTCCTCTGAACTTGGACCTGACCTCTCAGGTTGGGTTGGATCCAATCAAACTATAAAAGTGTACATAAAACATATTATACAAAAGATATAAATAGAAAATAACGAGTCTGGTTGGGTCTGGTGAACCCGGATCTGACCTACCTGATTAGAGCCGGGTGCACTTACATGTACCCTACCTGCTGGATCCAGAATCTGAGTATTATGACCTCACACAAAAAATGTAAATTTGTAACCCCGAGTTCTTGAGTATCTGCCCCACATTTATACCTCTCTTTATCTTTATGCCTGTGTCAAATGAATCGTTGAAGAAATTCCGGATTCAAAATTAATTAGGTAAACAGGCGCATGCCTTAATGACTGATCCCCCTAGTTGTGCTTTAACTTTCAATTTTACTATTACCGAAAGGAAAATTGTGTCATGGGGGCTGGACCCCATTTCTACAATATGGGGTCCCAAGGTACACAGCATCAAATCTTAAAGATGGATGCAAATAGGTGGCCATCTAAAAACAATGGGTCCAAATGTTTTTCTTACACAATGATTGTTTTTAATTTTCAAATTTTATTTATTTATTCCATTCATGATCTGTATATAAAAGATTACATAACCTTATAAATTAAGTCCAAAAATCCATCTCAAAAATAGATTTTTAATAGGTGACTATATGGACTCATATAAACCTTGTCCTTACCAAAATGGCCTCGGAAATGAGGATGAACTTGGAGGGCATTTTTGTCATTTTTCCCTTCACATTAAATCGTTTTTACCGCACATTTTGCAGAACCTTTCTGATAGCCGAGCAAACTGCACCTGCTCAGTGAAGCAGCAAAAGCCGTCGTACCCAATCTGAAATAAGGGCCAAAATGGAAATAATCGGGCTTTTAGAGGTCAGGTAAGCAAACGTCGGCCTCACCCTTTATTAGCATCATCAAACTGTACATAAGGTGTTAAGAGAGAGAGAGAGAATGTATTATCTTTCTGTTTTTTGTCCTTGTAAAATTCTTACCCTCCTGAGAAGAATTGAAGGGTAATGAATGTAGTTGTATCTTGTAATATTTGTGTTTGTTAGGAAATAGAAAGAAATTTGTTACCTTCTCAGCTATATACCATGTATTATTTATTAGGAAATAACAAGGAATTTGTCAAATCATCATCAAGAGGGATTTGTGAAAGTATAAATATTTTAAAAGAAAAAGCTTATATACGGTTGCAACCTTAAAATGTAGAATTACATATGCATTTCAAAAATCCATCGGCAAAGGTTGTTTTAATGTTGAAAAAAACCTCTAATTGATTATCTCGATGTCGAGATGTATGAATATGAAAAAAAAGAAGATTTTGAGTCTAAAAAATAGTGGATCTTGCAATATATTATCTAGACTTTCCATTGTCAAGATTTTCATATGGTTATTTATCTGATTGATTTTAACTATTTTGGGAGTTTAAAATTTTATAATTAGATATAAAAATAGATAATCCTAATAGTGTTTTTCATGAAAATTGCATGTGCTAAAATTCGGCGGTGCGCCTTAATTGAATTGTTTTGTTTAACGTCGCATCCTTATAAAAACCACACTCTTTAAAAGAAGGAGAGTAACAGGGAAAAGAAAAGGGAAATTTGCACCGTGTCAAGTAGTGTTTGGAAGCTTGAGGTGTGTATTTGGAATTGTCGATCCCTAATGCGAATTGGATCTCGCCACACTTGTTCCGAGAAAGAATTGGAAATCGCCGAATCCTCCTGGAAGCCCTTATTTTATATTTTGAAGTATTTTTAAGGTGATGCGGTAGATCTTAACCCATAAACCATCATTTTATTTGTTAATAGTTCTTAATTAACTACTAGATCGAGAATCTGATTTTGAATTAGTGGGTGGATGATCCGCCCTAGTTGTCTATTTTTTCAACCATTGGTGGTGCATCTCTTAAGACTCTGCCCATTACTTGTGTTCCATCCTGGGAAGGGTGAGAATTTCTTTTTTAGAAATCCACTTTCACAGTTGCAAAGTTTTAGTCTCTCCGAATTGGCCTTGCAGTGCATATAGCATGTTAATGCGGGAGCATACTGTACATCAATACTGTATTTTCTGCTGTATCCAACTATTGTGGGCCGCTTATCTGCCTTTTTCTTGGTCCCAGTGCACTCCACGTCATCTGTGACGCGCCTCTCTTTACCCTTTGTCTCTCCTCCCTATAAACGTCTCTCTCTTTTCATGTGGAAATAGTAACCGCACGAGGATAGATAGCATTTCTCGTGGACAGAACCCCGAAAAGGCAAATGGCATAGGACTTCGAATAGTGGAGAGAGAAAGAGGGAAAGATACCTAGAGAGAGAAAGATACGACCCGAAAAGGATAAATCCTGAGATGGTGTGGTCGGGAATAACATTGGATGGATTTTTATGCATGAGCTGCCTTCGGGTTTCTTTCAAATTTTCATTTTAGATATTGTGTGGTTTGTATAAGGTGGAGCCTCTAAACCATCAGGCGTACCTCCAAACAGAATCGGAAGATGATTTTTTTTTAATTTTGGTGATGGTTTAAAAATTGTTTTTATTATTAATTTTAAAATTTAAAGCTTAAAAAAGAGTGTACATCGAGTGAATTTATAAACATTTGAAAATATTGAAATCGATAGTCTAGATAATGCGGTATAAGATGTGCTATTTTCTAGATTGGGAATCCATTTTTTCTTTTAATGTATATACATCACGATTTGGCATGATTGATTTGAGGGTTTCTCGATATGGAAACGACTTATTCTCGCGTTTCAAATCTATTTTTATGCAAATTCACAATCATACAACCAAATAAAATTTAGAAAACTTTATCAAAATATACTGCACTTTTAAATTGTGTAACATTTCATCCTTTTTCTGCTATTTCAACCGAAAGTCATGTTTATTGCGAGGGACATTTTGCAATTCAATCAAACCATATTGGTAATATTAGATGGCTAATACTAAGTATAATTTTATAAATTTCCCTAAAATTAAAGTCCATGCTTAAAAAAAAAAAGTTTACATAAGGTTGAGGCCCTAAACAATCAAATTAAAAGCACATCTCAATAGTGACAGGTGGCCTTCTAATCTGTCATAAGTTTGCAATTTATGATTATTATACTGACTGGGTTAATCTCTATTGAGATTAGTATGCTCTGCGTCTGCCTAGCTAGTCTAGGATCTCTCGCATCAAAAAACGTGGTATGTACTGAAGGTTGATTTCTAGTGTTGATGTTATTCCACTGTCAATGTTTTATGATGTTAACATAACAGTAATTTTGTTGAAGACGAGAAAGCGGTGGTGGGAATTCATACTTTGTTAACACAAAAGGAAAGGAAAGCGGGCCTTACCTTCTTTTCTAAATATACAGTCAACATAATAATCTATTTTATAATGGTAGAAGATATTGTTTCAGAAATCGTTGTTGATAATATCCCTTCTTCTAGTTCTAATTTCCGTCATATGTTTTCAAAACAAGATCAGCTTTTTGAAATAACTTATACCTCTGAAAAATTTTCAGAAACCAATTCTCACTTGATAAATCCTTATCATATCTTTGACCAGTCTAGTTTAAATTGGACCAAAAAAATCAAAAAGTTATGTGGAAAAAAGAACCTTGAAGCTATAAAATAATATGTTCAAGCCTTATCTTTTGACCAAAATCAAATACCTGCTACCCAATCTGAACAATATGTTACCATTACTTTACCTACTAACCTATTCCCCCAATGGCTTAGAGATGGTTATACCCATATCCATTTTGGCGCCATAAAGCTAGCTCTGACTTTTCATGGAAGAAAAGGTATGGAAGCAGTTTCTTGAATTGCTTTGTTAGATTCTAGGTTTTTAGAATACCAGCATGCATGTATTGGAACTGTACAAATAACCTTGAACGCAGGAACCACATTTGTTACATTTTTCCCAAACTTAATATTCATATCAAGGACCCTCATTTGAGTTCAGCTTTTAAAGTCCAGTTGCAGATTACAGGCACCAAACAGATTGAAACAGCCACTGTAGATACACTCTATTATCAAATGGTGTAGCGACTACAGAACCATGCTTTTGATAGAGTTACCCTTTTGTCCCCAGAACAAGAAAATACAGCATTGTTTATCAAAGTTGATAACAATTCCCAACCGGTCTGTCATTATATTCTTAGACAAATCTCTCAAGAAAGGTTGCTTGAATTAATTCCATCTACATGGGTGACAAATTATGAACTCTTCAAAATCAATGTCAGCCATTGATGCAATCAGATTCTAGAATGACTAGAATGTAAGATGGAACTGTGCAGATAAATTTTCAAAATCAAATAATAGCTGAAAACCGGATCAGAGATATACTTTCAACTCAATTTCATGGATTGCTTGAAAAAGTTTCTGTTGTTGCTTTTGATAAAACAGGAAAACCAGTTTATAAACAAAAAACTTCTGATGGTCATAACTAGTTTGATACCTGTGATTGCTCTACTTGTCTTGAAGAAGTTTTAGATGATTTTCCAAAAAGAAAAAGCAAAACGAAAAAATCATCACAACAAAATCTTCATCAAAGATATATGGAGTGTGATCCATCTGTTGGTTTGCTTGAAGAAAGTTTAGAAAAATGGGATTACTATGTGACATATGGTTGTTCAAATCAAAAATCCAAATGCCCTGTTTCAGTAAAAGTTCCCTTAGGATGGGATGATCCAGAAGATAAACATATTCCAAACTGTTTAGCTTTTGATCCGCAAAGTTCAAATTATACCTCAAATTTTTCTCCTTTACATGATTTTGAGAGACCCCAAGAAAATGAAAAGCATGTATGGAAAATTAAGAATCCCAATGTAAGAGACAACACTGGGTTATAAAAGTCCATTTCTCCAGCCAAAGCTAGTTTAAATTGGCAAGCTGAGAATGCCAAATCTCAGAATTTAGCACTACTTCGAATAGAAGAAAAGCAAAATGCAATGTCCACCTGATGAAGGGATTATCAGGTATAATAGTTCAATTAAAAGAAAGAATTCAATTGTTGCATGAAGAATTGATGCAAATCTTGTATACAGTAAAAGATACCAATGAGCAATCGTATTTGCTAGTTCAAAAAGGACAAGAAAAAGCCTCACTGGAAAAACAACTTCAAAGCCTTGAAAAAGACCTTTGGAAATCGTAATATCAATCCCAATGTCCTCAGCATCAATACCAATCCCAATATCAACCTTTGTTACCAATTCCACATACCCAGGCTTATCCCATTTTAAGAAATCCAGACCCTTTCCTCCCACGAGAACTCTTTATCCAGCCACGGGTCTCATTCCTCTCAGAAATTATGGTTTCAGATCATTAAGGACATTTGCACAGGAAAGACAATTTCCTGAAGCAATGATTTTTCCCCAATTGAGAAAAAAACCAAATATGCACACCCCATCTTCATCTCAACATCCAATTCCTAGTCCCCAGACAACTTCACCACCAACAACTGTCCATCCTTCCACTGACTCCCAAATACCAAAACAAGAAACCCAAATGTTTCAAAATTCTGACACTGAATCAGATGTTGTGGCATCTTCCTGCTCAGATGAATATTCCTTCTAAACCCTTAAATGATATGAGTTCTTTTTTTAAGAACTTAACAAAAGAGCCTGAAGTTAATCTTCAAAATGAAACCCACTCCTTAGATGATATGACTGATACATCTGAAACATTTATAGAAGATACATATTCTTCTTTTATAGATTTTGAATCCTTATTGATGATGAATCCTCCGGATCAGCCACCTGAACCTGACCCTTTAATGGAAGAAGACCTCAGACCACCTAACCACCAAGAACCTCAACCGATCCCAACATATGGTGACTCCTCCAAAGGCTTTACAATTTATGACATTCCACCATCTCAATGGAATGACAGATTTAGAGAAATCCAAGGATTGATGCATTCTGAAATACTCAATTCAGTTAATTCTTTAGCTGGTACAATTTCTGAAGTCATTGTTAGATTAAGAAGAAGACTTTTTGACAGGTACATAAGTCTTAGAGAACACAGGCAAATATAGTTGCGAAATAGTGAGTCCACTATTGAATTTCTTAATTATCTTGTTGCTGAATTCTCAAGCCCAGTGAAACATGAACAAATCTCTGCAAGAGAAGAGTTTTGTCAACTCAAATGTTGTTCATT